GAAGCGGGATGCAGAACATTTTCTTAATAAACTTTGTTATGTCAATTGACCTAGATGTCCCCTGAAACCATGGTCCCCACACCCCCGCCCCTGCTACTCTGTCCCTCGAAGTGTTTGGTTGTAGAATATCATTATTTTGCAACTCCTAGTGAAATAATGGATTTAGACAATAATCATGAATGTATGCTCAAATGTAGAGGTGAAAGGCTGAAGGGAAGTTTATAATGGATTGATCAGCTGATAACATATGCACCCACTAATCAATCTTAACATCACAAAAACAGAGTTAACCAGCTATTATGTGCCTCCTGACATAATAGTTAATTTCATTATACCACCTTAGAAGTATTCTTGCCAAAAGAAAAAAATCAAACTTGAATCTCATCAAGCCTACAGATCTAACCATCCACAAGCAATGTGAAGAATAGAGGAACATTTGAACAATATCAAGACCAACACTATCAGCCAAATCCAGATGGCAGCAAATTACTAGTTTCTTCAACACACAAATTACATTATAAATAATATGAAGGGGAATCTTTTCTATATTGTTGTTGTTAGGTGCTGTCCAGTCGGTTCCAACTCAGTGACCCTACGTACAACAGAACAAAACACTGCCCAATCCTGAACCATTATTGCTATGTTTAAGCCCACAGTTGCAGCCACTGTGTCAATCCATCTCGTTGAGGGTCTTCCTTTTTTGCTGACTGTCATGGATTGAATTGTGTCCCCCAAAAATACCTGTCAACTTGGCTGGGTCATGATTCCCAGTATTGTATGATTGTGTACCATTTTGTAATCTGATGTGATTTCCTTATGTGTTGTAAACTCTATCACTATGATGTAGTAAGATGGATTAGCAGCAATTATACTGATGAGGTCTACAAGATTAGATAGTGTCTTAAGCTAATCTCTTTTGAGATATAAGAGAAGTGAGAAGAGAGACATGGGAACCTCATACCACCAAGAAAGCAGTGCCAGGAGCAGAGCGCGTCCTTTGGACCTGAGGTTCCTGCGCTGAGATGCTCCCAGACAAAAGGAAGACTGATGCATCACGAGGACCTTTCTCCAGAGCCAACAGAGAGATAAAGCCTTCTTCTGGAGCTGATGCCTTGAATTTGGACTTGTAGCCTACTAGATTGTGAGAAAATAAATTTCTCTTTGTTAAAAGCCACCCACTTGTGGTATTTCTGTTATACAGCACTAAATGACTAAGACACTGACCCTCTACTTTACCAAGCATGATGTCCTTCTCCAGGTACCTCCTGATAACGCATCCAAAGTAAGTGAGAAGAAGTCTCATC